TTAGAGACAGGTGCTCACCCCAAAAAGTCTCCATCATTAACTTAACAGGTCCTGCTAGAGTGCCAGCTCAGTTATTGATGGACAATCCTGTATTCAGGCTGGTAGAAAACCACTATCTCTAGAAAGGGTATTTCTACATGCTTGCCAAAATGACCACCTTTCCTACCTCCCCAAAACTATGCTACTGTAGTGAGCACTCCATCTGACCACAGAACAGGGACAACAACAAAAAAAAGGGGGAGAACTCATTTCAACAATGCAGACAATTTTAACTTCTTGGAAAATTACAACCCCATCATATGATGTGATGTAGCAGGATCCCAACTTGGTTTTGCCTAAAATACCTGTTTTTCCTCTGCCTTTTATGTGACAGGATACTATTACTCAAGTGTTTTCCACTGGGCTTGTAAGAAAAAAGTACCTTTTACAATCAGAAAGTCCCAAACAAGTTTCAAGTTCAAAACTTTACAGCTGTTCATCTTAAGACTTCAGAAAGCTCTTGGAACCACCTTTCAGCTTCAAGGAGTTACTGTATGCTCAGAAAACCTAAGCCTTAACAGGGTTTACTGACATCACATTTAACCAAGATGATACTGGCTTGTTCACTGAGGAAAAGCACATTCTATAAGTAACTGTTTTACACAAAATACTTCCCTGTAGCAAGCATATACATAAATCTTACTGTAATTTAACATTTTTCAAATTGCTTGTGTTACCCCCTATGTATGCAGCAGATGATAGAAAAGGAGACACATTACCCATGCTCTAGGAAGCTTACAAGCAAAACCTGCAATCCTGATGTCAATAACATACATTTTACATGAAAAATCAGGCTGCAGGAGGATGAAATGACCACAGATAAGAGCAGTAACAGATGTAGAAATTACTCTAGACTTCTTGAAAATTTTACAATGCTTGCCCAAATAAGTAATATTTTGGGGGAGTGTGCTGTTTTGGCTTGGGGTTTGTTTTGTTTGGGTGATTGCTAGGGTTGGTTTTTTTTTGACAAGTGAAAAGAAGCAGGTACAGCTTTACCCACAGAGAGTAAAAATTGTTGGCAGCACAGAACCAAAGGCACATGGCACGCTCCTCCATCCACAGAACAACTCTTTCAGTACACAATCCAAGGAAGAGCCAACATGCCAAGTCATTATGCCAAACCAGGATTTTGATGGATACTTACGTGTTGCCAGCTCCCAAACCCACCCAGAGCACAACCCAGGGGAGTTTCATAAACACACTCATGAGAAAATAAACAGGAAGCCATCAGCAAGAAGGCTGATGGCCACCAGGCCGAGCACACACCAGGATGAACACAGGGTTATCATGAGTGTTTTGGGGTAACTGTCTACTCTGTCACCCATTCAATAATACCAACCTCTTGTATACAGTCTTTATTCTACTTCTACTGACTTGTATAATGTCCATGGGATTATAGAGACATCTCTGTTGCAAAGCCCCCTCTCACTTGCCTTTAGTGCTGTAAGACCAGCCCCACTCATAACATAGTTTTAATCAAGCCCACTTCGTCTTGGATTCAAGCTCAAGAGAGCTACAGGGAACTAAAGAAACTGCAGCACATAATGTTAAAATAGGCCTCAAAGTTCTTATCCGTGGAATACAACAGTTTGCAGCCTACATCATAGTTTTTAGCTGTTGCAGGTAAGGAAAGCCAATTGCAAACTCAAATGAGCTGTTTTTTAATCCTTTAACCTCTGAGCAAAGAGACAGAAGAGTTCCCCTTTAAACAGCCCTCAGCTATGCCAAAGTAAAGAAGCTGATGATTCTGCTGCAACATTTTCAATGCTACTCCCAGCACTGTAGAGGAAGGTGGGGCTTTTTGTTCTGTTTCTGAACTACTGCAAGCACCAAAGGTCAATACTGAAACAGAGACTGGAGATAGCATTGACAGAAAGGAAATGAGGATAGGGAAGTGTGAACTCTCATTAGATTTAAACAAGACAATTCTTCAATTCCCAGATAATAAAAAGTCCTGTCCACTCTCATGCCTCTGACAGGGCTGGAGCAGCAGGAAATATTTGTGGTTTCAGCCAACCATAAGTTTGTTCATGTCATTTCAGAATAACCACATGTACACAACCATAACTTCCAATGACTGTAGCAGTAAATCAAATCTAATCCAGAGTGCTTGGCCATCCATGTATATGCCAGGTAAACTGCAAACCCTCCAGTGTTACAGACTAGCCTAGAAATGCAGTCCTAAAATTAAGTACTTGCCTCCAAACAGGGAGCTTTTATGCTGTAATTTAGTTGCCTATTAATATCACCTTATTTTTGAACATCCACATTTGATAGTTTAATCTTAAAAACACAAACAGGTAATTTCATCAATCTGAAGATATTGAGTGTATTTTTAAAAGCACTAATGCATATTGAAAAACCTGAAACCTTTCAGATGTACTAAGTTTTTAACCCTCTATTCTGTAGGCTCTGGCCACCAATGCAAATTGACTACTTACATCCATGCACTACTCATAAAAACTTTCAGTTCTTAAGCATCTACCTGTTGCAAGGGGGGGGGGAGGAAGGCCTTTCTGCTGTGGAAAAGTGAGCACATTCACCTGAACTAGGGGGGCTGTTTCTAAACATCATGAAGTTCTGTATGTCCCACAGGTGGCTGAGAGCTAGCTGAAGCCTAGGAATGCCTGCTAAAACTCTTCATGCTGTTAAGTCACAACTCTACAGTAAGAGGATCTCTAATGTTCAGCAAGAATTCAGCATTCTCCCTGAGTGGAAGGGGTTTTTGTGTTTCTATGACTGCCATTTCCTAAAAGCAGCAAGAACTCAATTGCTTTATCATCTCCACATCCTTGTCAAATCTGGCATTTTTTGCATATTAAAAATGTCACGTGGAAAAGAAAAACAGTAGGACAGAAGGACTGAGGACAGTATGACCCTGCAAACCTTGTTTCTGTAACAAAGCAGGCTAAGAGCACAAAGAGCTCGACAAAACCTACTGCTTCAGCAGCACCACATCCTGGCCTAGTACAGTTCTTTGAAGTTTGATGCCCAGGCTGAAGGCAGAAACTTTCTTGGCAGGAACAGTGAGCAGCCCTCAGCCACAGGGTCCCTGACATACTCCCAGGAGAAGGCTTCCTGTCACATCTGCTCTGATACAGGGGGTCCTACACTTTTGCTCAGACTCTGCAAGGATGACACTAACCCCTGCAAGGCCTCAGTGACTTAGAAATGTTCTGTCAGGAGACAGTTACGGAAGCCCCAGATTTCTAGTTCAGTGCTTTAAAGGACACAAAAGTTAGATTCACAAAAAGGCAGTTTCTCAGACAAATACACTTCATATATTTGGTCAAAATAGGTTTCCAACTTCCTCTTATCCATGGAATACAACAGTTTACAGTCTATATCATAGTTTTAAGCTGTTGCAGGTAAGAGAATCCAACTGAAAACTCAAAGGAGCTGGTTTTAAGCCTTTAAACTCCAAAGAAAGAGCCTAAGGAGTTCCCCTTCACACAGGCCTCAGCTATGTCAAAGTGAAGAAGCTGATGTTTCTGCTACAACATTTTCAATGCTACTCTCTTTACAGAGGAAGGTGGGGCTTTTTGTTCTGTTTTCAAACTACCACAAAAGCACCAAAGGGGTTTGACTCAAGCTTTGTTAGTCTTCAACAAAGGGAAAACAGGGTAGATGTTGCTGGAAAGCACATTCCTGTATTAAATACCCTCAGTATCCCCATTCAGCTTGGGCCTGGAGATTCCAGACATCTGTCCTGGCCTGCGTAGACTTTTCTGCCATGGGGTAAAGTTTCAGCCGGTTTTGTTCCTTAAGTACCAACCTTCTCACAGAAGCATCTTAATGAGAAGTCCACTTTCTGCATAGTCCATTCAAATGATGTAGATAGCTACTGGTACTCCAGGGCAGAGTAATTTGCAGTGATTCTTCTTGGGTGCCTTGAATTTTAGAATTGGTCTTTGTCATGCAGATCACATACCAACGAGGGGTGTCAAGCTGTAAAATCTCATTGCATATTACAATCACACACTACAGCAACTAGTACAGAAAAAAACACAATCACAAAGGGAAAAAGTTTAATTTACTCATGACAGCAGACTACCTGTAAGTCATCACACATTCCTTGAAGGGGAAAACAAATATTACCCCCCATGTCTCCCCTCCCTGCCTAAGAATGCAAGACTTGTCCCTTCTCTAGAAAGATAGAGGACATAAATGTTCCTAAAACTTATGCATACTGACTAACCCTGTCTGAATGGTGAGGAGCAAGCCAGGCATTTCAGAGCCTATGGATATTCACCAAGATCCAAGCTCTGACAACATCACATGCATTCCTCTGTAGGTAAGTTAAGAACTGACCTAACTGCAACAAAACCTGGAAATTAATCACAGCCGGGTTTGCAAGTTACAAATTCCACTTTTCTGCTAGTCCTGCTGCCTTTTTCCTTACTCACCCAACATACCTGCCTGACATCAGAGCACTATGACCAAGACCTTTAACAGTGACTACTGTAAGTACTAAATGACTCACTTTTGAAGCAGCCTCCAGCAATGTCACACAGCCAAGTGACCTCTGGGCACAGTGAGCAAGTGCAATTGATTCGGTGTGGTGCAGCACTTCCAGGGCCCTTGCATGCAGCACAGCAGCACTTCCGTGCCTTTAACCACTGATGCACAGTGGTGGCAGCACATGGAGCTGATGGGACTAAGCCAAGCAGAAGCACTTATTTTTAAATGAAGGAAATAGTCTTTTAACTATTCATATACCAATGGTATCTGTCCACTTTTTGGAAGGAGCATGCACAGTACATTTCTGCCTCCCTGGGTCTTCTATCACACTCGTCACCAGGGTACCTGAAAGTGCTGCAAGGTAAATACAACCTCCTTGAAGACAGAAGGTATATCATGCAAATCTCTTCGCAGTGGAGAAGGGCAATTCACTTGTTAGTGCATGTTTATGTTTCCAAAAACCTTTAGAAAACATTCTTTATCAGAGACTCAAACCAATTCACTAATGTGAAATATTTTATTTAAACCACCTTTTTGGAATCAGGGCTTACTCTGACAGTTATACACTGGGCATTCATAGAATTATAGTCAAGCTGCCAACAGAAGGCAACTGCTTTTATCCAGTAACTGCACATCCATTTGACAGAATGTTGGAAATGCTAGAAGAAAACATATTCTAGTTGCACTCTTTCTTTTCCTTATCCTTCATCTGTACTTGGACCTCTCTTTGTCTTTTGATTTCTTAGGACTTCTGCTTCTGTCTGCTTTTTTGTCCCAGTCTCTTGTTCGATAGTCATCTCTGTATTTGTCTTTTTGTTTGCTGTAAGTGTAATCTCTCTCCTGAGAACGGCTGCGACTCCGATGCCTGTCTTTCTTCTCACTCTTCGTCCTCTCTCTGCAGCGTTCTCCTTCATGCTTTCGATCAGAATCCTGTTTAAGGAATTGGACAGACATGCAGTTACAGACAAAAGGGAAAATATACAAAGGCATGAAGAGAACTAGAGAAGAGTCAAGCATGGTTGGTTCCTTAGTTAAGGCTGGTACCACTTGAAACAGAATCGTATCATAGAATCATAGAATTTTAGGGGTTGGAATGGACCTTATTGATCAGCTAGTCCCAACCCCAGCCATGGGCAGGGACACCTCCCCACTAGACCACGTTACTCAAGGCCTCATCCAACCTGGCTTTGAACACTGCCAGGGTTGGGGCATCTACTACCTCCCTGGACAGCCTGTTCCAGTGTCTCATCACCCTTACAGTAAAAAACATTTTCCTCATATTTAGCCTAAATTTCCCTTCCTTCAATTTGAATCTGTTACTCTTGTCCTATTACTGCAGTTCCTGACGAAGAGTCACTCTCCACCCTTACAGTAAAAAACATTTTCCTCATATTTAGCCTAAATTTCCCTTCCTTCAATTTGAATCTGTTACTCTTGTCCTATTACTGCAGTTCCTGACGAAGAGTCACTCTCCAGCTCCGCTCCCTTCAGATCTCGCTTCCCTGTAGTCCCTTCAGATACTGGAAGGTTGCTATGAGGCCTCCACACAACCTTCTCTTCTCCAGGCTGAACAGCCCCAACTTCCTCAGCCTGCCTGCACAGGGGAGATGCTCCAGTGCTCTTATCAACTTTGTGGCCTCCTCTGGACTTGCTCCAACAGTTCCATGTCCTTCTTATGTTGAAGGCACCAACAGATTCATATCCATGATGATTTGAAAAACCTCTCCATCTACTTCATAACCATATGACGTAGATATGTTTACAGCATTTGTCAGTGTTTATGGAAAAGAGCATGGCTGTCAGACATGCTTCTCCTTGTATTTCCTGAGGAGCTTTAGCAAAAAACTGGTTATATCAGGGATTCCACTCAGCTGGATATTATCAAACTCTTCTTAAGCAGCACACAAGCTTCCAAGCTAGATTTGGATTTTGACTGCTTATATAAACAATGCAAGTATTTCCATAATAAGTCTTGGTTCAAGCCCCACAGGCATTCCAGTGCTATGAAGATGCAGAACATTTTTAAGTCATGCCTGTAATAATTCTCAATGGCCTAAATTCTAGGCTTCAGCAAAATGAACAACACCATTAGAGAGACCAACTACACACACACCTAAACTACACTGCCTTGAAGTTAAAGTCCCCAAGAAAAGGCAGCATGGAGAATATGATCCTTTCAAATGTACAATCAAACAGTAACACATGGTACATGAGGCTGATGGGTATGACCCATACAAAAACCACAAGAGGATACACTCACAGACAGACATAGTAAACTCTGAGGAGTACAAGTCTAGCTAATTTAAAATGACCTACAAAGAAGAGACCAACCGAATTTAGTATAAGTGGTATTGGTGTTTCAGTATACGAACACTTAAAAAACTTGCTAAAACCCCTGCATGTTCAGGTAGCCAAAAATGAGGAAAATTTGACCTCCTCTAGCTTTCTGCATGTTGTCACTTGGAATGCTGAGCTAGTGGCTCAGTGAATGGACAGCTCTGGAGAGAAAAGAGACTTAGGTAACAAAGGAGGAACTGCTGCCAATAGAGCACCTGCTCTATACGCTGCACTAGGCAGACAGTGTGAAAACACTGCAGTGTGTTAGTGAATGAAGGAAAGGTGTTCTAATCACTCAGACTGTGAAATGTCACTCCCACAAGGTAATGGCACAGCACGCACGCGAATGACTGTGTGCAGACACCAACACCTGTACAGGCCAAGGCATCACAGCAGGTTTAATAGTAAAGATTCAGATCACTTATAAAGTAGCCATTCCATTTCAAGGAACTCTGAAGATTTTATACACACATAACTCTGAGTTTTGACATGTGAACTAACATTTTTCAAGCACTGCTATAAACTAGTTTGTTCTTGTTATTCAATTGAGACATAAAGGGAAACAAAATACAAGAGGGAACTTCAGAATCCTGCAGAAAGATACACCCCTTGCCATAAAAAAGTGGTAGACACTTGTTTTGAGGTAATAGTCACATGAAAGTTTAGTATCACTATATGCTCTAGTAGACAGACACCATTTTAGGGGATTCTAGTAACACTGTTAAACACGATCAATATGAACTACGAAAAATGTCTTCATTAAATTGCATATTTCCAGATTTTAAAATGCAAAATCTAATTAAAGGGAAACGTAGCTTATGTTGATGGATAATTAAGGTACATTTCATTCTATTAATCCAAATTATTACATTTTTTTTCTTGCCATTGTGATCATATTAGCTATTGTGGTGACCTTTTTGTGTCACTTTCAGACTTGCCCTGTATACCTATACCTTAAATGCTTCTGTGAAGATCACTGTGCTTTGCTAACTCAATGTTCAGTAAGCTGCCCTTTTCTGTGGCATTCAACGTGGGCTATTTGTCTGGCTACTGAAACAAAGTTTGACAGCAAAGATGTGGAATAAGCACTCGGCCAGCAGTAGCAGAATTTTTTGTTATACATCAAATCTATGATTACTGATGTGTTTATCCAGGGGGGTTGTGTTGCTTATTGTAACCCCAGTATTCCAGCATTTTCTATCTAATTCTAAAGATGGTATTGGCTCTGGGAACCATCCTGATCATTGGTTTTCTGCATAAAAGCTCTGTTTGGAGTTTTTTCACTGTTCTTTTAAGTAAGTGAAATTTGTTAGTACAAGGAGCATAGGTTTTAGTCATGCATTTAAGGTACAGGTACACAGGGCAAGTCTGAAAGTCACACAAAAAGGTCACCACAGTAGCTAATGTAAAAGTACCTAATGTAAAGAAAAAATGGAGTAATTTGAATAGAATGAAATGCATCTTAGTTCCCCACCAACGTAAGCTACATTTCCCTTTAAATTTTACATTTCAAAGTCTTTGACATAGAAAATGGTTAGATTTTTAAACACACTAAATTTCTACAAATAATGGTATTTTGAAATCAAACTTTTTATGCCCTAAGTCAAAAACATGCTGTTTTTGAAGAGGAAGAAGAAGATTCCTGCTTATAAACAGGCCCTCTCTTAGTGCTTCAGTTCAGAATCACAGCCCCTCATCAGCCAATGAATAAGTGATGATCACCTCAATTCTTTGTGCAGCACACATGAGGAAGGAAATATAAAAAGAGGAAAAGACATTTCTCTGGAAGATCATGGCTGACTTTGCCAAAAGTAGTAACTTGCTAAACAGCACTTCATGTAAATCAGCTAGAAATACCATGGCCACAGAAGTAGAATACAAATGCTACCTCTCCATACATTAAGCATGCTAGTTATAAGCATACTAGAGAAAGGCTAAAAGGAGCAAACAAATAGAGAAATCCTTTTCAGGGGGCAGATTTTGATCAAACTTGACCCTGAATATAAATGGACAGTGTCCAAAAAGCAGTAAAAGCAGAAAATTAAAACCAAAAGGATCAGTATCTCTGCCAAAACCATGTACTCCAGAAATCTGAAAGTCAGGAAGCTCCAATGTCTCACAAAAATCTGTTGGATAGGCTACACTCCTCCAAAGATCCAGTTATCTTAACAAATAAAATCCAAGAGAAAATACACAGAGAAAACTGGAAGAGGAACAAAGTCATAATACACATCTCAAGCATGACCTCTATTCAAAAAACCTCTATCAAATCCTATTCACAAACCCACATGGCAGTCCAGCCTCCTGCCCCAGACCCACATCCTGTTACCTATGGAAAGCAAGCACAGCACCCTACCTCTTCTACCCACTGGAATCAAGTCAAACAGCACAAGATTCAAAAACATATTCTTAAAACATCAACACACAGGCTGAAGATTCAGGAAACGCGTGTCAGACTAAGAAAAGGATGAGTCAAAATATACTAAAGAAAAAAAAAGCACCAGCAAGAGAACAGAAAAACAACTCAACATCATGGAAACTATTCAGAAAATAAAACCCCCTTCAAGTCATAGCTGGAGTTCATAGCACAAACTGTAGTTCCAGTTGCAGAACTTCCTATTATAAGCTTTGACCTCTCTCAATTAAAATCTCTGCCACAGAAGGATGGAAGTTTCTGTATGAAGCATAGCTATTGTAGTCTTTGGCCAATTAACTGTGGAAGGTCTGCTGCTACTTTGTTTTAAAGTTCTAACTTCAAATATAGTCTATGATGTGTAAAACAGGACTAAGGGAGAATGTTTGGCTTGCCTATGCTAGAAATGCCACCATTCATAAAATGTTTCCATCCTGTTATGCTTTGTGCCGGCCTCACTATTCACACTGAACATACTCCACCTCAAGAACATGATTCCTTCCCCTGCCCTTGTATGTGTTCCACAGATTATGCCTTGTATGTGTTCCACAGATTATGCCTAAATTATAAATATTAAAAAATTGAAAATATTTTGTAGATGCTAAACAGGATTTTTCAGCTAAGCTGCCTGCACATGTCACTGGAAGGGCCATGACCAAGACACTTACTGATTTTCTATATTAGAGTGAGTACAGACTGCTCAGGATGTACACACTAACAACAATATTCAAATCCAGAGAGATAAATTCTTTCCAGAAATTCATTTTCACAGCTCCAAGAGGGAACTATGATGCTTGCCATTAGATAGAAGTAAGCCTCCACCTGTGATTTGGGCACTAAAGTAAGCTAAGCTATTTACAGCAAATGAGGTAAGGTAAGAGAGCAGAAAGCTGTGGGATAGAAGATACCAGAATACAGCAGCAGCAGACTACGGGAACAAACCACATCAGGAGGAGTGGTTATAGCACTAAGACTGACAAGAGTTCAAAAAGCATTTGGGCAATGCTCTCAGGCACATGGTGTCAATCTTGGGAATGTCCTATGCAAGGGCAAGAGTTGGACTTGATGATCCTTGTGGGTCCCTTTCAACCCTGAATGTTCTGTGGTTCTGTGACTAAATCACGTACAGGGACACAGAAGAGATCACATAGTCAAGCAGCAGAAAGCATCTTTTCCAGACCAGAAAATAGCACCACGAATCCCTCTGTCCTCATTCATGCTTTTGTGCTAGGAAATCTGCTGTTCTATGAAGTCTCAGGTCCCCTTGGAACAATTATGACAGAGGTTAACAGCCTACTGCTTCTGGTACTTGTCATGCCACCTGCAGGTGATGGAGACGTATAAACGATCTTACAATGTCCTCTGCTGATAACACATGATCAGCCAGATCTACAGGTGTAATTTCTGGACTATCAAGAACAAAGATTTCTGCCAGAAATACCTGATTCAAGAATGTTAAAGTGACAGTGTCAACCAGCCAAAAAGACAGAAGGAAATCTAAATGAACATTAGTCTGGACCTGTGTATGTCTGTGCTCCACCCAAGACTTTACTTATCTGAACAGGTCCCTCCCCTCCACCCAAAGGACCCTGACTGAATCAGTATACATTGACAAAAAGACCTGTCCCATGCACAAGCAATAGGGCTCACTGGCGGCACTGAAAAAATTGTAATTGCTAATGTTCATGAGAAATGTTATTTTTAAGCATCAGAGCAAGAAGTGATGTAATAGAACAACGGATCATGTATGCTCTGCGTACACAGAACTTCTAGCAGCACTCAAAACTCATGACAGGACAATGGGTTTATTTACTGTGACTGAAACCTTATCACTTTCTGCACAGCTGCTAGAAGACGGCTTTGTTCTCACCCATAAAGCTTGCACTGCTGAAATGCTGAGGTTTGGAGGTTGTTTTTTTTTTTAAAGCTTCGCTCAATTCTCCAGTAATGCTCACACTTCAGTGGTGGCTAACCCTCCACTTCATCATTACAGATTTTGTTTCCACAAAACACCAATGTCTTGACTATCCCAAGTTCACAGAAATGTGGGAATGCTGACCTGACAGGCTGTAGTTCAACTAATGAATGACAGAACTACTGTCCCCGATGATGTCCTGCACAGCCCCAGCCTTACAGCACTGTATGCTTGCACACTACAGATGCAAGCAAACCCACACACAGATTTTGCACAAACACTTCCAAAACAGTTAAGGAGAAACAGAAAAAAAGATAATGCAAAGAGACTGTGTTTCTGATTATATATGGGGAAAACCCAACATATGATGGTCTAGCAAGAAGATGAGAAATAGTCTACAGTCATGAAAGATGATTAACTATTGGTTTATGACTGGGAATATGTGAACACCAGGTACAAAGTGCTGAAGACTTCCTACTTTATGAGAAGGCACATTTCCTCTTCAGAATGTTTTGGCAAAAAGCCATCCAGACATGCCAAGTTTCAAAAGTCCAGCAGGATTCGGAAAGCCTTTTTCATAATCAAATACTAACATCAGCCTTCTGTAGGTTTACAACTGCTGTATTTTATGGGACTTTGCACAACTATGTCCTCATTCAATATCAAGACTTTTTTTGCCCCCTGGCTTCTCTTATGAGGAAAACAATGAATAGGTATAAAGTTAATGCATGAAGAGGTAAGTACCTTAGATTTTTTGGTCCTCTTGTCATCTTCTTCATCGTCAGAGTGATGGTGCTTTTTCTTCTTTTGTTTTTTAGCCACGTGCGACTGACTTGTTTGAGATTCTTCTACATCTTCATCCAGCACAAGGTCATACTTGGCACTGATGTTCTTGGTTAAGGACAGATCTGTTACTTAGTATCAATAAACAGCAAAACACAACAGCTCATGAAGAAGAAAAATTCCTCTTTATCAGACAAGAGTTTACCAAGACTTACTACATACTTCAGTCAGAACAGGATTGCATACATTGAAAAAAAGCAACCAGCTGTGCTAAAATTACTAAACTCTGTCCTGCCAAACTGTACAGCCAGGTCCCAGACCTGTGGATATCTGAACAAGCTATGGTCTTCTTTCCTCTCATGCTTGCCACAAGCAAAGTATAGCTCAGAGAATGATTTGCTTACTCCTATGGTCTCATTTTGAATGCAGCAGGTCCCCTTTGAAACAACTTAGAACTCTGTTAAGCCATATGCCATTCCAGGGCTGCAGACTTGGAATATTTTTTACCTGCACACAACATGGAAGTGAAACAGCATACTCCAATTTGACTAAACTCATCAAAGTCATCAAATGAAAACTTAAGCAAAATGCTTAATTCCATCTGAAACACCAAATGGTTATATGAAGCAGCAGCAAAACACCCATTTGGCAAGCTTTAAAAATCAGAAGTCTTTTCCAGGTTGTTTTCATAAACTGCACTTCACTGCAAAAAAAAAAAAAAACACCTTTGACCAGAAAAGGATACTCTTGCTTTGGTTTCACCTTCTCTTTCAGAGCAAGTTTTGAAGGCTTGTCATGTTCCTTCTCATAGTCTTTGAAATCATCCTTGGTATACCTCCCACCTGTCCACAGAAAAATATATTTAATACACTCCAACCAAAAACACAACCAAGACCCACAAACATCATTAAATTCTGATTATGATTTAAGGGCTCTTCATAACCACACAGAGATGCATAGCAGAACACAGTACCAGAAACAACACTGACATTTGGGTAACAGTAGAAGAGAATAGGACAAGTTGTGATGTTCTGTCCTTCTCTTGTGTGCAGATTCCATTAAACTACATATGGCTTTATCCTCATTTGTGTCCACCGGAGACAACACACGAAGAGGATCACAAAGCAGGATTCAGCAACTGGCTTAGTCCCATTTTGATTAAAGGTCCTATGTCACACTACTTGAAATTCTGTTACCACAAAAGCCTACAGACTATCATTAAATGACTTTTTGCTCTGGGCTGCACAAAGGGAAACCTCTGAGACAGGTAGAGCTTAAGAATTCAGATGTAAAACAATTCCCTGGACGCACAGCTCGCCGAGTAACACCGCCACGTGCTGCCATCTCGCGGCCCTACCGAGAAGTGCAGCTCCCGCCGCCCAGCTCAGAGACAGCTACCGAAGGCCCAAGGACTGCACCTGCCCCAGGTCATTTCTGGGGTACCAGATAGGCACAAGGTGACAATATAGTTAGCTGGACAATTTACACCTACGTTACCCAGGCAAGGAAAAGTTTTCCACGCAATGAGTCAGTACCACGCAATGAGTCAGTACAGCAAGCACTGCAGCACAGGGTATACACTACAGTCATCTCAGGTCTGCGCAGGACAAGTTCCTAGTACCTCAGTATTTAGGACCAGAACCCTACCTGGAGAAATTGTATGCTCACAATTAAGGGCTGACTGCATTTTTAGGAGATGACACACAAGGATGTCACCACTGCAATGCACAGTCACATCTCCAAGTCCAGTGTTTTCCTCATGACCCCAGCAACCAAATAACTACTGCATCTACCATCCTTTTCCTCCCCAAACATCCCCAAACATCTGAAATAGGGTTTTTATCACATATAGCCTGCTGTGTAGTATGTTTGACCTACAGGAAGTGAAGAACACAAATCCCTGGCCTGAATATTGACTTTTTTTTATACACACTCAACTGTCATACAGTGAATAAAGAAAGGAAAGTAACAATGTACTGCCATATTATTTTTGCTAGTAAGTAATATCAAAAAATATCACATCCAAAGCTTGAGAGGAAAAAGTGATTTAGTGGTAAAAATACACTGGATAAAAAGGCAATCTATGGCAATGCAAGCTTAATATAACACCAGTATACCCTGCCACTCTTTCTTACAAATCAAGTGAAGAGGTAACAACTGTGATGCTGTATTTCTTACAATATCAGGAAAATTTATATCCCTGGAGATGATTTAAACTCATAATTCTTTATATAATGCTTAGTTTAGAAGTCATGGCTTTATAAGTTATGAGGATCAAAGAACTGCAAGTGTACCTACCTTTTCCCTTCCATTTAATCTTTGCAACTGACTGGCTAAAATCCACATGTATCCTCCTATCATCGATCAGCACGTTGTCCATTTTGAAGTAAGCCTTCTCACAGTCTTCCTCCTGACATCAACATTACCAGAAAATCTTGAGTCATGATCATTTCCTAGGAATATTCACTGAAGAGCTCAAACACAAATTCTATTGCTCAATGGCACGTTTCTTTCTAAAATTGCCTAGAGCACACCAGTTGTTGCACTGTGCCATTTCAAAAGGAATAGTTATGCTTTGTCTAAATGTCAGCATTTCAAATATTTTTCAGTTCATTTCACTAGTTTAAAAATTTGCCAATCAAGCTACGTGTTTGGCACACATAGTAAGTTCAGAAAAACAAGGGAAATAGGATAACCAATAAAAGCTCCATTTTAAGTACCTACGCAGGCTAAAGCGAGAACCCTTTTCCAGTGCTTTCCTCACAGATTAGAGAGATTAGCAGACACAAAGCTATGCACCACCAAGAGAACTACCCCTATCAATCTCTCACAGTAGGAGCAGCATGTTGATAAAGCAGGCATCATTTACAAGCTCAATGTAGGACACTACTGAACACACTGAGCTCCCTTATTTCAGACACCCTCCTCTCTTGATGCATTCCCTTCTTCAATTTCTCGAAGTCTTAACATGCTCTTGGTAAAAAAAGGGCCTAATCACCCCCACTGGTTTCCAGACAACCTAAGAACACACTCCTACTGCTTTCTTGAACAGAGAAAGACTAACATGTTTGCTTCATTTAGGAGCTACAATTTCTGTAACTAAGTCAGAAAGAAAAAACACCAGCTACTCCACACTTGAAGATGTCAAGTGTCTTTCTTCAATGCAAGTATACCAAAACCTAACTTTTATAAGCAGAATCTACATAGAGCATACCTAAAACCCCATACCTTTTCAAACTCAATGAAAGCGTAACAAAGAGATTCCCCAGTCTTCCAGTCTCGAATCACTTCACAGCTGAAAAAATGATAGGAAAATAAAATGACAATGCTGTTGGAGCACAAAATATAAGATAGGAAAACAATGCTTAAAAGGGAGAGTGTCAGGTTGAAATAAAACCCAAAAACATCAAAATACCTTGAAGATATTATAACACTTGATTCTGAGACCCTCTTACTGATGTGGGAGTGTCTGCACAGAAAAACTGCATGTGACATTGTGTAATTACACATAACTCACAAATGGATACCAAGAAGTGTACAACTAGAGATTAATTCCTAATTAATGAAACATTTTCCAACATTACTGTTTGTTACCAATTTTTTGCATTTCGCTAATGGAAGACAAGAAACTTTGCATTTTGTTTTCTCAGTTATTTTAAGCAAAGTTTAAACAGACATCATGTGGCAAACTTTCTCCTCTCAACAAGCACCTCTTTAGCAGCCACCCTGGGCAAAAAACAAGAAACCCAGAAGTATTGAATTAGTAGATGCAAAACAGGAACAATATAGTATTGCATCAGTATTACCCAACTCTTGTACTTGACATGAGAATTCTGACTGCAGGATGCTGAAGGAGGACAAACAGGCAACACAGGCAGGAAATGAGGCATTAAGGTGAGACTTATAATGTGAGACCTCCCCCATGTGCCCATCATGTCCTTTGACAGCAGTACAAGGAGGAATCAACTGACACTATTAGGAGTCAAGTTCAAAACTGAAAACGGAACCAGATATGAGGAACACCTAACAAGGAGTATATTGGATGCCAGAAATGTTTGCTACTTCACCCCAGACCACAGATATTCCCATGGAAAAGAAAAACCCAGAGACTGTATCTAGCTCATGTAGCACCTGAGATAAAAACTACTGGACAGAGGGAGAGGACAGGGGCTGGGAAGAGAACCATATGTTTTCCTTGTTCCTACACTTCCCTAAGCTTACACTTAAACCCACTGCTGGGACAGGACACTCATCTAGCTACGTCTGACTTTGTATCCCCTTTGTTGTGGTCTCTATCCAAACACATGCAGGCACAGCATAAATTGCCAAGACACCAGACTACTCCTTAAGAGCCAAACCTAAAGAGACTAGGAGGAATCAAACTGTTTCAACAAAGAGGGCTTTCTCTTTTGTTTTGCCATAATTACCTTTTAATGGGACCAAACCGTGAAAATATTATCTCCAGGTCTTCACCTGTGGTCACAGGATTCAGTTTACAAACAAACAGCACATTTTCTGGCGGCTTGATCTCTGCATCTGGTAAGTCTCCCACCTGCGGTATACAGAAAAAGACATTCATCACTTCTGCCTAAAGCTCTCTGCAGGCAGCACATCTTTTGCATGATCTCAAATTCCTATCATGCAATCAAAAATTGACAAAATATTCTGCCTACTCGGTGTCACAAAAAGTGTATATGTCCATAGCACCTAAAAGTTATCTATTTGCAATTCCACCACTGAGACCTCATGAAAGTTCACAAACACTTTCTACTTTGCTTTCCCTGTTCCTAACACAACAAACACACAGTTCTAAAAGGCTGAAGTGCATTTTTTTCCCACAAATCATCTGATGTGTGTGCTTTTTAAAATTTGCCTTTTTTCTTTAAAAATAAAAAATACTTCAGAGCCTATTCACCATTTTTGTTACTATGGAGTTTACAACTGCAGCAGTTACCAAACACCGCATTTGAGGAGGAAAAACATAAAGTTAATCAATGCTAAATTTAACTAATTCCACAGAATGAAAACTGCCATTCCATACATGGATAATACAACCTCAATGCCACTGTATGTACTGGAGAGAGATTATCACAAATTAGCTCAGCTCTCTCCCACACATGCTAAACCTTTTCCAGGACTGCAGATACTCAGCAGCATATTATGTATGTCACATTTTGTAAATGGATGCATTTCTAGCAAGTTTTTATAAAGCCACTACTGGCCCACTTTTAATCCTGGCTTGGAAAATGAAGTATGACTGGTTTTATCAGCAAGCCACATCCAGCACTCACACTCAGTCCTTTTCTTTGCACCACAGACATTTAATAGCACAGATTCTGAAACATGACATCACCACCAGATAAGTGTTTTCAAGATAAGTAGTACACATTCTCCTAGACTTAATAACATGCACACACACTGGAATAACATCTAAAAGGTAAATAGAGAAAGGTGTTCACCATTTCCAGAAGAATGGCACGAGTTTTCGCTTCTTTTTCTGCCTGAACTTCTTCTATTTCTTCTATAGACCTTCCTTTCATGTCATCAATTTCTTCATCTGCTCCTATTCTCCCACTCTGAAAAATGAAGGAAAAAGTTATTTATTACCAAGCCATGGCCAAAAGTTCTTCCTCACTTTCCAGATATTAGTTGGAGGATCTCTCTCCTCAGCCCCCAAGACATGCTGTATCTGGGCAGAACTGGGTTTCACCCTGTTCTTTCCACTTCCTTAGATTTTAAAAAAAAAAAAAAAAAAAAAAGAAGAAAAAAAGAGAGAGGTAAGATGCTATCCTCATATTTCAGGCACTGTGAACTATGTGTGAACTGCTGGTATCAGTCTGAACCATATTCTGTGAGGTATTCTAAATTTTTATACTCCTACCTCATACTCAATATCTCATCATAAGTGTCCATTCATTTCTAATCCAGATAGCTCCTACCAGAAACGAAGATAAGGAACACTACAAATCTGTGGTGTCTAGTAAGACTCAAACATTACATAGCATATATCGTAAGAAGAATTTAATTTTTACATATCTACACCTAAGCAGGATTTGAGGTTTAATTTTTTCTCCTCATCAGCATTCCTTTAGAATGCTGCTCTTCTTACAGACACCAAAAGGTGTATCTTCCGACAGGCTATGAGAAAGAAAACTAAGTAAAAGTTTTCAAAACTCTACTCAGTTGGCATTGAGCTGATAAAACTCTTTATACCACTTGAAGATACCTCAGAGATTAACCACAGTGCAGACACACTATGAAAGCCTAGTTCCAATCTTATAATTACATCTATTAAGCTTAAAAATAAACAATATTCTCCCTAGTCCATGCATTCATTGCTTGAAACGACTGTTTTCAGAGAAGGAGATAACCTCACATACACCTTCCATAACTGCCAACTGAGTAAATTATTAATAATTGCCATTATTTCTTGGAAAATTCCTTCTGTCTAAAGAAACAGCCCACTGCAGTAAGCACGTTGGCACATATAACTCAAAGAATGACCTTGATTACTCCCACCGAAACACAGACTATTTCACATTTAAAAGGAAAACAGTAGTAACCAATATTAATAAATGGTAAGTTATATTTTGTCTTCTACTAGAGTACATAGAAAAACAGCAATACCAAAGGTGAATATTCTGAATGTTCTGATAATCTACACTGTAAACAGAAATCTAAAATACAGCTTTCAAACCTAACTCTACCAGAGTCACAGGGAAAACACTCATGTCATGCTTTTATCCTTTTCTTGAAAGATAAAGCAGCTGTATTTGATGAAATACAGCAACAGCTCCAAATAACTGACACGCACGTGAAATATCAGAACTCAAACTGGGATAGTAGGAGAGCATCTTTTATCACCCTCTGCAACAAAGAGTGTAGTTCTTTTCAGACACAGAAGAAACAAAGTCTTAAAGACAGAATTCTTATTTGGCCAAGTCTGTGCTGGACACTAAGAAGAGGTAGATTTATTTAATTATTTCTTAAGTAACCAAGAAGCTTATCATGAACACTCACATCGAGCTGCTCCTTAGTAGGTTCTGGTGAGCGATCAGGAACAGACAAGCCAGGTGGATCATCAAACGGGTCATCCAAAATTACTGTGTGATTTATCCTTATAGAAAACAAAATCAGTATCAGCATCAGCCACATGCAAATAAAACTGTCTCTACCCAAGTGACAGGAAACCAGCCCCACTAACTCAGTTACATCCCAAACAGCCAAATACACTGCACACTTGTAAATTCTAGTTTTGATGCTTTTCTAAGGGCAACATTGCTGCTCATTTTTGTACATAGTTGTTTATTCAGTATTTGCTTATTTTACAAATAATACTGGAATTAAAAAGTATTTAGGATACCATATACAGACATCAGGACATCAGACACCTGACAACAGGATATTCAACTAGATTCCAAAAAAAGACTAATTCATTTAATTATAACACATTCCTCAGTAAGTGAAGTTAAAAGCAACACACCTGATATCTTGATATGGGATAAAGTCCTTATCTACAAAGGCTTCATTAATTGTCTTCAATACATCCATGCCTTCTGTCACTTCCCCAAATACTGTATGTACACCATCAAGGTAATCCAGGTTTTCCCCTGTAGTAATAAGGAACTACAAAAGAAGATACAAAAATCAGTACAGTGACTAGAAATTAGGGCTTTTTTTTTTTTACCACTTTAGGAGAGGGACAACTCTCACTGAATCCAGTGGGAGGCGAGGGGAAGAATATTTCTGACTTCTGGAGGAGGAGATTAGTCTTGTTTCATCAGCTCTGACAACATGATGAGCCAAGCTACCGCTCCCAGCCACTGCCTGAGGAAGAGGCTCTCTGAGCTCTGGTTCACTGGACCCTTCTGTGAATTGATTTGGCTCAGTAATCAGGCAGCAAACCAGGTGGGCACAGGAAGACCAGACAGCTATTTGCCAGGTAGGTTTGCTGAGCAAGACCAGCAAAGGTTGAGACAGGCATCACAGCTGATGAAAGGAAGGGTACAGGAAGGGCAAGGCTACCCCTCCAGGCAGCAATGAGCTGAGCACACGTGCCCCGTTCATCAAAGTGCATTCAGCAGACACATTTCATAAATCTGGCAAAAGCTTCCGTAGTTCTACCTTCACCTCATTCTACCCAGATTTTTTCCTTCCTTCCCACAAACCCTTCTCTCTCAAAAAACAGTATGTAGTAGCACTGAGAGGAGAACACAGAAGCACTGACTTAGATCGAACTGGCCCTGAAAAGTATCTTTAACACAAATCAGGTCTTTCACTTCAGGGCAAAATTGAAACTATGGAAACTGATACCAACTGAGCACTTGGTAACAAATTAAAGATGGAGAGCACTTGGAGAACAAAGGAGGAAGAAGCAGATATGCACAAGTAACAGGACGCAACCATTACACCCACACTTTACAATCTGGCTGGCAACATCTCACTTTTCATCTCTCAGCAATGCAGTAGAAACTGGTTAATATTTGGTAGAGGTTACACTAAGCTACACTATATTTGTAGGACAACACCACGTAATTCCTTACTGTGGCATGATTTCAAAACTAACACCAAGATATAACCAGAAAATTTCAAGATTATTTCCAGACACAGTTTTCTTACATTTCACTTCCATTTAACTACAGGATTTTTTCCTGCCCATTTTACAAACTAGCGAAATCACATCAAGGTATTAACATAGATGAATAAACACAGGAAAAAAAAAAAAGAGGGCTGCAAATAAAATTTGTACAATTAATCTAGGACAGAATTTGAATCTGAGCATTTTAATTTCTTTCTTGTCTGTAATCAAATACTTATTGGCACCTGGAACACCACAAAAAAATCCTTGTCTATGGCCAGGTTTTTTACATATCTTTTGACCACATTACAAGATGATGCTATTGAGATGACACTGTCATTGTAATGTCCCTTTTGTAAATGGAGGGAATTTTCATCTTCATTACTTAGACAAGTACCAAGGCTTTCCAAGACTGGATGCTGACCTGTGATCCATGCTGATCACTGCCATTGTTCACCATTGACACAGTTCCCTTCTTCTTGTGCTTGATTCTCGGCACTTTTTCTGCCTCAAAAAATCTAGCTTGATCACCATACAGTTGACTGAAAATATATAGGACAAATATGTTACAAGACAAAGGAATTTTTAAAGGCGAGTAAATCAAATACTATAAAACAGTAAATATCTTAAAACCATGTTACATTCATCTTCAAATAAACCCAGAATTGACACTGCATCCATGCACATTTTTAGGGACCTGTACATTTACATAATTCACTTTATACTACAAGGAACAATAGATTTTTCTCTAAAACATCTCTCAGAGACTTTCTGGAGGCTGTGGTGGGGTGTATTTATGTTTTTCAATGCAGCATATAACATTCTTCTGAGGCATGAAGTAACTACACATTTTAACTAGATTCCATAAAAGTAAGTTATTCCACACTGTAAAAATGCAGTAACTTATGTCCAAAATTTTCTTCCAAGATAAACAGAAAACCAGTAAAACTATGTGTAAAATCAGTTCATCATACAAACTGCATACAGTAATTTGAGATGTAGAGGACATGGCATATTATTAAGTTCTTTTTAATTTTTCAAGTCTAACCCTGATACCACTTACTTTGTCTCACTCCATAACGAACAGAGGCACAGGCAAAACACACAACTGCCCAAATTTAAGGACAGTGCTGTGTTTGAACTCATTTTGCTAAGCAAGTGTAAGCCTCTACGGAGAGAAAACTCAAATTCAACTTTGCCTGTAAGAACAGAAACTCCAGTTTTGCGGACTTTGGCAGTAGCAAACAGGTAGAAAAGACGAACTGCTGCTCTCCATGCTAAGTAGCAGGACAGGATCTGACACTCTCATCACACTACACCTCCCTACCTCCCATACCAGTAAGCCTCAGAAGATCAATCCTTGCAACAAAGCAGGATATCAAAATAAACTTGATCTACTTGTGTGCAGAGACAGCTCAGGCCTGGCAAGTTTACCTTCCCAGACTTGCATCTGCTTAGCACAACCATACTGCTTCCATGACCAGCAGAATGGTGATCCATGGATCCATGTGTCCAAGGGCTTGTATTTCAGAGACTAACTTAAAAAACCCAAACCCTGGTCCAGCAACAGTCTCTGTTTGACCTGAACTATTTATATTGTGTTTCACAGCAGTTTGTGTTTAGCTTTGCTCTCTGCAATTTTAATTCTTCTTTAATAGCAACTTGAGAGGAATCATATAGAACATATGTACTTTGCTAACTTCCACCCTAGCTGTCTGAATGATTTCTTCAACTTTTGTCTGCACAACCACTGAAAACATCTTAAACAAGAAAGGTGATTTCCTTATACACATTCAACATGACTGAACTCAAGTAAATTTTAAGAGCAAAGAGATTACTTTCTTATACACAGAGGAAATGAAGTATAGCCTCTACATTCTCCTCCCACCCTGTTTTAACAAAAACAAAAGTAGTAACAAACTGCTAATGATTTTGCCTTCTACAGAGCACTTAGTTATGATACTTCTCTTACCAAACCTATAGTTATTTGCTAGCTTTTAAATAAACAGAAATGTATGTACAAGTTGTTTGTTGTAACTTTGCGTCTAAGGTCAGGGATAGAATAATGTCCTCTCAAAAAAAAAAAGTGAATGGCCAAAGGCAGTGTAGAAATTGAAAGGGTATCTAGGTATGACAACCAAAGAAGCTTATGCATCAACTTTTTTACTTCCCACCAGTAATTCTGCCCCAAGAGAGATGAACACAACCTAACTGTAACCCCTATCCCCTATACAAATTCTCTGTTGAAATACATGTACACATATACACACATATGTATCGTGTTGACACATAAATACTTACCAAAATATGGATTCCCCTCCACGGCCAGTACCCATGGGGTCACCAGTTTGTATAATAAAATCCCTCTGTGACAAAGCAGAATACATAAGATATTGCTTTCATGTTTGCGATTTTAAGCCAACAAGAAAAAATACAGAATTGAGAGTACTCACCTGCACATTGTAAATAAGACAATAGTTGTAGTACTTGACTTTGCAGAGCTTCAGGAAGTTCAGACAAGCTGTAAGAAATAACGCCAACATTTACTAAAAAACCTCCAGATACAGGAAAAATAGAATCATAGAATTTTAGGGGTTGGAAGGCACTTTATAAAACATCTAGTCCCAGCCCCCCTGCCCTGGGCAGGGACACCTCCCCACTAGACCAAGTTGCTCAAGGCCTCATCCAGCCTGGCTTTGAACACTGCCAGGGTTGGGGCAGCCACCACCTCCCTGGGCAACCTGTGCCAGTGTCTCACCACCCTCACAGGAAAAAACTTCTTCCTAATACCTAACCTAAATCAACCTATAAAACAGATATAAGAGATGTCTGGTTTAATGTGTAGAAAAGTGTTTCTGGAGCAGACAGTGTCAAGACTAAGGTGTGACCTACAAACACTGAGAGAAACGCTCTAAGGAGGGGTAACACTTCCTCCCTTCCTGAAGCTCATCTCTAGTGACTCAAAGAACCCGAAACACGGCTATTCACACAGAAACACACTTTTTATCCCATCCCGTTTCTTTTCAAACACAGCACAGCCTCCGTCCGGTGCAGAACATATCACGTTTGCTCATTTTTAAAATGAATTTTATACATTTATAATAAAAACACAATTTAAAAAAAAATTAAAATAAAGCAACAAGCTTCCCACCAGCAGCTGACGCTGCCCGGTGCCCCGAGCACAGATGCGGGCCGGGCGGCGAGGGGAGCGGCGCCGCGGCCTGTTCTCCGGCCCG